TTTAGCGTCAGATGTCTGACGGTGAAGCGGTGTTGTGGTGTAGTGGACCTTGGGTATTTTGGTTATTTCCCATGTAGATAATAGACGAAAAAGAAAATTAATAAATAAAAGGTAAATTTGCATTAACCGGTATGAGTATGGTCATATTTAAAATGGCAATTCTTCTAATCTAATTTTTTGATCAAAACATTTGGAAGCCACCTCACAGGAGTGGCAAAAATCCAAATCCCTCTAAGAACATCTCAACCTATTAGTTCAATACCGCCTTGGAATAGTCCTGGGTAACACAACTAACACGAATACGTAGCATGAATGCACTCAACATTAATTTATGTGCATTCATGCTGGTAGCATATTATATTTTTGCCAAGCAAAGTTTTTAAGACATGTTTATACATCAATTAGGATGCTTTGAGATTTTTCTGGATATTTTTCCATTTTTTCTAGAGCTATAATCCTATTTCTGAATGAAGTTTCTAAAAATGTCTCCATGATCTCTGTGTATTTTATTTGGATTTTTCGTATCCTAATCTATCTCTAGAATGTTTTTCTTTGAATTTTAAAAGGTTTGAGACATTTTTTTGTGGTTTAAAACTGTAGGGGTACGACCCCGGATACCCACGGCAGACCACATGGGCTGCGTCCCCAGGGGCGGCCCAGCCCACAAGACGTAGCCTTGCGGGGCACGACTCTGGTCGGCGCCTTCTTCAAGACATCTGTAAGACATCCTGAAGATACTACGAGATCTGTTAGGATATGCATGATCCTAAGATTCCTGTAATCAGTTATTACTTTCCGGTTATCTCTCAAATCTAACCGACTTGTAACCATACTCCCCGGACTATATAAGGCGGACAGGGACCTCCTCCAAACGCACGCAATATCATACGATAGCTAATACAAACCAACAGATCACAGGAGTAGGGTATTACGTCATACTGACGGTCTGAACCTGTATAACTCATGTGTCTCTGTTGCCTTCTTATTCTTGATCTCACGCTCCTCTGCCGATCAATCTAGCTTCGTGGGATACCACTCGGAGGACTGTCGACGATATTCTGTCGACAAAAAAAACCTTATCAAATATTTACCGAATGTTTTTAACTAAAAATGAAAAAAACTGACTTCAAAACCACTCTAATCCAGGATATAGAGATAATTTGAACGGTTTAGAAAGCCACGATGTTTGGGTTTGGAGTTGAAAATCAAACGTGATGGCTAAGGTCTCGTTCGTTTGGACTTGAACTGAGAGGAAGCTTATGCAAATTAGACACGCAATCCTCGCTGGATTAGTTCCAGAGGCCCTAAAGGAGGTTGGAGGTACAATGGGCCCTTTTCCATTTTTGACGGATCCGGCGCTGGTTGCGTTGGGTAATTGGGCTAAAGTGAACTTCATCGGCCCAATAGTTTCCACAGAGCCGGGGCGGAGGTAGGCCCAGTGCAGTGCTCTGGGCAATTGGAAAAATCAAAATAGCCCTAGCACATCACACATCACTGGAAGGCGGAGGCCACCGCCGCACCCCGACTCCGGCTCCCTTCCTCCCGACGGCGCCCCACCCAGCGACGCCGCCGCCGCCTTACGCCAGGTGCCCGGGTCTCTTCTCCAGGCCTTAGTCGTAGGTCCCTTCGCCGGCGACGAGCACCACATTCTCTCCCATTCCTGCTGTGCGAAACCGAGTTCCCGAACCCTAACCTTCGCTATTTGGCTGTATTCGGATCTGATCTAATTACAAGTGTATACATGTATCATGCCTACTAACCTAGACTGCTTTTACAAACATTATTGAATGTACATGTGTACACCCATGCCCTTTACTAGGTCCGCGCCTGGCTGTAAGTGTAAGTGTGTGGTGTTTTGCTTGCCTGAACATGTTCTGATTTGGTTTCTGGGGGTCCTCTGCTTGTTGCATGATAATCCTGTATTTTGGTCACATAGACGAGTGTGCTGTCTATTTCTAGCTTATCCCTACCTCTGTATTCAGGCTCATTAGGCTTCACAATCACTATGGGTTGGATGAATGAATGGATCCTGCTGTGTGCTTTTAGAACCTTGCAAGTAACAATGAATATTCTTATTCAGATGTTATGCCTTGCAGAGTTTTTTTAGCTGCAATGGATCCAGAAAATTCAGGCATTGATGTCATAGTATAATGATCTTGCTAAAATCATAGGATCATCTCTTGCACAAGCAATGTTTACAAAGTAATCTGCCCAAAGTCATTGCTGTCACATGACAACAATGCTTGAACTGTGGCTTTGCCCCTGTTTGCAACATGAGCACCATTCTTATTCAGATGTTATGCATTGTAGAAATGTTTTTGCAACACAGTACCATTATGTACACTTCTGACGGTGCATTGTCTGGTCAATTAATTATGAATCTTACTTCCTCTGGTCATACCTGCCATATTCTCTCTCTATGAATCTCACATTTTCTTACTGAAAAAACAACAACATGATGCAGTGTTTTGAAAATTACATAGCTGCAATATATTTAATGTTGCGCTGCATGCAGAATTTATGGTCCAATTTGTCAAAGGCAGTAGTGGCCAGTGGGCACAAAAAGTAGCACATGTGGTTATTTCATGATTCAATGCTTTCCTATTTCTTGATGTATGCACATGTATGGGTATAATCATGCAATCTTTTTGTGCAATTGTGCAGGTGACACTGCATAGCAATAATTTCTTTTTGGAAAAAAGCTGGAGCGATGAGTCATAAATGGTTCACAAGGATGACCTGCTGTTGCTGTGTGCGTTCATAGGCACACCAGGTAACCCATGTCTAAGTTTATTCCTTTCCTCTTAACATGCTCACTGAAGAAAAAGATCTGTTATACATAACTATTAGTCTTGATCAGTTTAAATGCCTGTTTGGAACTGGGCCATTTTATCTAGGCTTAGAACTGTTTCCTACTTCTCCGCTAAGCTAGCTTTTAATGGAAGTGCTAAGTTTGCCTCATTGGGAAGAGGAAGATGTGATTCTATCCAATAAAAGGGGTTGCAGGGCTCTGTAAATCAATAATATTTTTGTAACATGGTTCCCACAGAGACACTGTAACTGTTTGCAGAAGGAGGGATATACATAATATATCAGGGAGGATTGGTTAAATTGAATAGGCACCTCATTCTGCTACTTTGTTTCCAACTATTGTGAATCCATGTTACTTTTCATACCTTTATAATTCTGTACAGTTAATCTTCATATCAGTTAAGAGAGCCCTCTTCATAGTGAGTGTATCGTGATCATTCATGTCAATTAGATACTTTCCTCAACGTCCTGTTTACTTCTCTTACTTGGGCCCCATCAATCTCCTTTTCGACCCTTTGAACACACTACAGCTGCGATTGGTAGGTGGTGTTAACCTTTCTGTGGCGACTTCTCCATTGTGTCTGCTCTCTAGAATCAGCAGGGATGCCACTTTCTTAACTCTATTTCATCTCATTATTTTTTGTTTAAATTTGACAACTAAATCAGGATAACAAAGATACTCAAGTATTTGTTGTCACTTTGCTTCTATTTGAGCTCCTTAAATCATCTGCTGCAAGTCTTTTGCTCACTAAATCATGCGTAATGCAAACAATGTTAACAAGTCCGACCCATTGTCACCTGCTACCTTGCACTATTCTTGAGGACTAAATAACTCTCTTAACATTCTATTCTTGTTGACACTTTGACTTTGAGTGCCTTGAATCATCTACTGCAAGTCTTCTTTTGTTCACTAAATCATGCATGATGCAAACGATGTTAAGAGGTCTTACCTATTGACACCTGCCACCTCACTTTGATGACAGCCAACTGCTGAAGCAACATATACTACCCCAAGAAAGTTGATGCCTGCAGAGGATAAATAATACTTCTCCACTCAAACGTGTATCTGTAAGTGATGCCATGCTAACGTAAAGTTTCTTTTTATGTTGATTTTGAATTTTGATCCTGTGCATGTTTTACCTATGTGTCTTTATTTTTCTTTGTTCCCTGTAATTCTATTATACCCTCCATAATGAAGTGTCATTGGATGTGTTGAAAATCATGTTATTGACAATAATATGGTGTATATTGTCTCATTAGGTTTATATGTTGACTTCTGTTTGTTGACTCAGTGCTACATCAGATGCTGCAATAAATCATATACATACTTGTGGATTTGCTATTTGTTTGAAAGGAGAGTTTTTATTTTCCCCACTTAGAATGATGTTTGGGTCATTTGCCATCCTCTGCTCATCTGATGATTGTGAAGCTAAATAGCTTATATTTGAAGAAGGGCTAGATTGAAGTGGTACTCAAATGTTCAATCACAATTACGTGCAAGATCATATGAGTTCAATATATGAATTTGCTTTGCATATGTATGAAAAAAAATAGTGTTTGAATCATGGTGCAATATAGATAGAATCACTGGTATGTACTATCTTTTCATGGTTGATTTCATTTTACTTTTCATTCCTTTTCAATTCAACTATTAACATAACAGAATTAGCAATATTCAGTGGAGTGTGATAGACCAAGTCTATAAGTCTTGTGCTTATCCCAAGTAGTAGTTGCTGCATATGTCAGCACCGTTATCATCTATCTTATTAGCATCTACTTTAGGATATGCTGTATGCTTTAGCATCTGCCATAGAATATGCTAAAACTTTCTTGAGTTGCAAGTTTGCTACTCCTATATGGACTCAGAAAAATCCTGTCATGGTTTGTGGCTAAAAATAGAAAATCTGCCCCAAATACCTGTGTCTTTGGCTAACAGAGTGAATTATGATGGAAAGAAGAGGGCCTTTTTTTTTGCATGATTTTGCATGTCTTCTTGAATTAGTTTATCACTATTCCATTATTAGTTTCACACTGGTATTTTTCATGGTCTAATGCACTAAAGGTTTTAGCATAATATTGTTTGAGACAGCGATCCTAAGGTGTTCATCCACTTTCGAATAATTTGTACTTAAATAATAACATTTTTCCATAGTATATCCATCATCTGATGTGAACTTATTTGATGCCAGGTTGCGCTCTACTTTTCTGAGAATATGGTTGGTTGCAATAGGGAAGAGGCCTTAAGGGCCAGGGAAATTGCTGTGAAGAAGATGGAAAATAAAGATTTTTTTGGTGCCCAGAAGATTGTGCTTAAAGCTCAAAAGCTTTTTCCAGAGCTTGAGAATGTGTCTCAACTGTCAACCATCTGCAGTGTGCACTGTGCAGCAGAGTTAAGGGTGAATGGAGAGATGGACTTCTATGGAGTCCTTCAAGTGGAGGAAGGAGCTGACAAAGCCTTGATAAAAAAGCAGTACCGCAAGCTTGCATTTTCACTTCACCCTGATAAAAATTGTTTTATGGGTGCTGAGGCAGCTTTCAAGTTGGTTGCAAGCTCATTCTGTACTATGTGATACTGCAAAGCGAAATGATTATGACCTGAAAAGGAGGAATGGATTTAGAAATGTGCCAAAGTCAGCCAAACAGCAGCCATCAAAGAAGACTGATTCACATAAACAGAGCATGCCTGGATCTAGAGAAACATTTTGGACTATATGCTCAAATTGTCAGATCCAATACCAGTACTACAGCAATATCTTGAACACCATGGTCCGCTGTCTGAACTGTAAAAGGAATTTTTTTGCATACAAGCTGAATCAACAGCCCATGTCCACTTCATCAAGTGTCAACAGCTCCCAAGTTCCTGCAAGCAGATTTGCGAATAAACAACGTGACACTCCCAATCAACAAGGTCACCCTATGAATCCTTCATCTGTAGGTAGAGGCACCAATGTGAAGCCAAATGGTTCCCAAGACCCTGCACACATGTTTCGAAATCAACAGCATGGTGTTTACAGTCAACATGGCCATCCTGTGAAGCCTTCTGCAGACGGAGACACAGATGCAAAGCTGAGGATGAATGTGGCCCAGCGTGATGAATACATGAAAGGGAGAGCTAATGACCCAGAGGTGTTGAGGGGGAAATTTCAATCTTCAACGCTGAATCAAGATAAATCTTCTGTCCCTATGGGAAATGGGGACATGCAAGGAAGGCCACCAATTTCAGACCCTGCTGATCCAAACATTGTCAACACACAGAAATCAGTTCAGGAAGATGCGTCTGCAGTGCCGGATGCTATGGATCTGCCTGGTTCTGCAAAGCCTTCTTCTGCAGGTGGGAAAATAGATGGAGATGCAAGGATAAATGTTGCAGGTAGTAGATTGATGCCAGATCCTGTTGATCTAAATATTACTGGCAGAAGAAATTTGCATAGACAAGATGCATCTACAGTGCCTACTGGTGCCGGATCCTCTGGTACCCAAAGCTCAGTTAAGAGGAAGACTTATGCTGATGGCAATGTTTGCCTGGACACGGATACCAACAAGAGGCCAATGAAAAATAATATTCCATCTGATGTTAACATGAGTTGTAAACAAGTATGTGATGATGGTGTCACTAATGCTCGTGATACAATCAGATCCACCTCATGTGTCCGGCGGCAAATGTAGACACCCAACAAAAGCCAAAAATTGCTGATATAAGTGATCATCAGGTAAATATCAAGGAAAAAGCTACTGAAACTGATAGTGATCAGGACAATATCATGGAAGAAGCTCCTCAAACTGTTAGTGAAAACGTAAATATCAAGGAAAAAGCTACTGAAACTGATAGCGATGAGGACAATATCATGGAAGAAGCTCCTCAAACTGTTAGCGAAAAGAAGCCTTCTTACTCTGTGCAGGTCACCCTCCCTGATCCAGATTTCTTCAATTTTGAGAAGATCAAGGATATCAATGTGTTCGAAGTTGGTCAGATATGGGCCCTCTATGACAACCTTGATGGCATGCCAAGGTATTATGCTCGTATAAAGCATTTTGATGCCTCCAACTTCAAAATACATTTAACTTGGCTGGAGTACGTTGCGATGGATGAAGATGAGGAGAACTGGACTGATGAAGAACTGCCTACTGCTTGTGGAAACTTTCGCCTTGGGAAAGGAACTGACATATCAGAAGACAAGGAAATGTTTTCTCACATTGCTTCTTGGACAAAAGGTAAAATGAGGAATTCATATGTCATATATCCTAACAAGGGTGAGGTGTGGGCTCTTCACAAGGGGTGGAGCATGGAATGGAGCTCAGATGCAGATAATCATAGATCATATGAGTATGAGGTTGTGGAAGTCGTGTCAAGTATGTCAGCCAATGGTGGCGCCACTGTTATCCCACTGGTTAGGATTGAGGGATTCATTTGTTTATTTGCAACAGCTAAAGACAAATCCTCATTTGTGATACCATCTAGTGAGCTGCTCCGATTTTCTCACAGAATCCCTTTTTATAGGACAAAAGGAAATGAAAAGGTTGGTGTTCCAAGAGGATTTCTGGAACTGGACAATGCATGTCTCCCTGCTGACCTGGATGCAGCATTTTCCAATGTTACTCTTGACTCTTACACGTCTCTCAGCAAGAAAGAAAGCAGCACATCTGTTAATGTGACCACTGACAATACAAGTTGTAGAATGGATCTGGGAGATGATCAAATTGCTCAAAAGGAGAATCACCGTGAAGAGCATATTGGCCACCCCCACCCAATGTCTACAGACAATCCTAAAGATTTGTGCCCGGAACAAAATACACCCTTAAAGAAAACTGCTGGTGATGCCAATGAATTTAGTGATTGCTCTCTTCAAGGCAGCCTCTCCCCCAACATATACACATATCCTGATTCTGATTTCCACAAATTTGAAGAAGGTCGCTCCTGTGAGAAGTTTGAACGTGGACAAGTATGGGCCTTGTACAATGATATTGATAAACTTCCCAAGTTCTATGCCTGGATAAAAAAAGTCAGGGAAGAGCCTTTTAGAGTTGAGGTGATCTGGCTTGAGGCTTGCCCGAAACAGGATCAGGAGAAACAGTGGTTGAAGCAGGACATACCCATCAGCTGTGGCACATTCAAAATCCTAAAATGGAGAGCTGAGTATGACACAAGCGATACCTTCTCTCATCTGGTATATTTTAGAGAAACCGCCAAAAAGCGGGAGCTTGAAATCCTCCCACAGGTTGGCGATATATGGGCCGTCTACATGAACTGGGCACCTGACTGGGTTCCATGCAGTGTTGATGCCTGTGAGTTTGCTATCTGCGAGGTCATCGAGTGCACTGAAGCTAGCACAAAGCTCACCTTCCTGGCCCAAGTCAGCGGCTACCGATCCGTGTTCAAGCCTGACAAGCAAAGGGGAGTGCTGGAGGTACCTGCCGGGGGAGGAGCTGAGGTTCTCCCACCAGATACCCTATTTCCGCCTGACGGGAGAGGGAGGCGGCAGTCTCCGTGGCTTCTACGAGCTTGACCCTGCTTCTGTCCCTGATGCCTTCCTGTATGAGGACACCTGATGATGACGGCTGGCAGATGCTGAACCAAACCCCGATTCTGGTTAGCATTATGTCTCAAGTGTTAGGCTGTCAGTTTATTTGGTGTACATATATGGCGGTTAGCTTAGTCTCACTGGAACCGTGCGGATATAGTCATATGGAGGTGCCTGGGGTGGGTTGCTATTTCTTACTAGTGCCTATGGAAAAGGTCTCAGGCGCTGTTGTGCTGGTTACAGCGCATTGCTACCGGTTAAGTTAATTCTGGTTTAATCTACCAGGGTCCAGACATGTCTTATGCGCGACAGTGTTTAACATTAACTTGTTATATGCTAGTGTGCATCTGTAGCGCCTAACCACTGCACCGTTGTTTTACTATGCAATCTTGGAGATGAAACCTGTACAGTTCAAGGTAATACTATATATATGGAGTTGTCTGTTATGCCAGGACAGTTAGAAATATGGCCGTTGAATGCTGTCTGTGTCTCTGTTGTAGCATGCAATGGTGAGTGACTACCTTATGTTACCTAGATAGAAATTTACATTCTCTCCACAGCATGGTTTGCTACGCGTGTTGGCGCTGCTTGCTGCTGCTGATTCAAACTATAGCTTATGCCATTTTAGTTTGAAAATCCAGGCAGTGCTCGTCCGGGGGTGGCGACCAGTGCTTAGCTACATCCAGACCAGAATGCTGCGTGAGAAAATAGTAGGGTATTCTTGGACACTGGCACACTGCATAGGACCGTATTTTTTTAACCTTTTTTTTTTTGAAAAATATTCACATTTATATCCTTGGGTGCCTTAAACCTGTTTTTGGCCTTGGAGTGAGCGCCGTGGCCCATGATGCTAGGATAACATGTCTCGTGCAATAGGCCATGGGGCCCAGCCTGAAGGCCTTGATGGCGTGGCGGGAGGACGTGGTGCTGACGTGGCCAGAGCTGGCGCCACGTAGAGGCTCGTTTCGATTGTTTTGATCCCTGTTTTAAAATATAAATATCGTGTACTCAAAATGCAAAATAGCTGTTTTGTAAGCATTAAGGGTGTGTTTGGTTGAGCTATGGCTGTGAGAAAAAGCTGCTGTGTGCTGTGAGCTGTGGAAAAGCTATTTTGGACTGTGAGCTGTAGAAAAGCTAAAAGCTGTTTGGTTAAACAAGTATAAAATATATCTTTTATCTTTATCTCTTTTAAAACAATTATGGAAGAACTTTTTATTCCAACAATTTCAAAAAGCAGAAAGTCAAAAACAGAATTAAACTAGCTTTTAAAAATGTACTACGGAAAGCAGCTGTTTCTGAAAAAGCACCCTACAAAAGCAGTCCCTTTGGTTGAGCTTTTGGCTTTTAGGGCCAAAAGTCAAAGCCAAAAGCCCAACCAAACGGACTCTAAAAATAGCATGAAAATAATAAAACGATAAGAAATGTAAATACTGCATACCCGAAACTTATATCACTCCAATCTGAATAAAAATGTATAGAAGTGACAGTACGAGCACTGATTATATATGCCATTGATACTTGATATTTTACTCAAACCGACATGACGAAGAAGCTAGCAGCTAGTCTTCTTCGGTAAGTCAACGTGAACCAATCCTCCATGGTGGCACATCGTTTGTGAGAAAACAAATCAACTTTGAGACGCTTTTAGCTCTCGTTCGATTGGTCCAAATCCCGCTACTTCTTGGTAGTGTGGGAAGAGCCTGGATTTAACGTCTCTCGCTACGTCAGATTTTCACACCAGAAACGGGGGCATTTGTACTATAGGGACGGTTGGGGTTGGAGGCGCCCCTACAGTGGATGTCCTCAGACCTCATCAGCCCAGCCGTCCCTACAGATAGCACTGTAGGGGCGGCTGGTAACCTGAGCTGCCCCTACAGTTGGGGCTGATCTGTAGGGACGGCTCAATCATCAGCCGCCCTTGCATTGCCTATTTGTAGGGGCGGCTGGTAGCAGCCGCCCCTGCTGTTCGACTGTAGGGGCGGCTGAATCACCAGCCGCCCCTACTGATGGCGCACGAATAAATAGCAGCCACCCCTTCTTCCATATCAGGACACACTCTTCTATACAAAAAAAAGGTTGAAAGGCCTTAGGCTCCTCCTAAAAATTGATCTACTAAGGGGGAGGTTTTGATCTCAAATCCTTTGGTGGAGAGGCTCTAAAAGGTAAGAAAATGCTTCTCCAATTCTTTATTTGAAGTTTAATTCGTTGGTCAGTGAGTAATTTGATTTTTGGTTTTCTCTCTCTTCCATGGAGCTTGAGCTAGTCATGAGTGAAATTGGACCATAATTTTCACTATACTAGGATAAATTAGGTAGGGAAGTAAGATTGCACCCTTTGTTAGTACATCTTTGTTGACTTTAGTGTAGTATTAGTGAAGTTTGGTGCATGTGTCATGAAACCCTATATCTAGATCTAGGATTTTGTTTTTTTTTCTTTTTCAATTTTTTCTTTACGTGACTAGGATTTGCATGTAGGTGAATGTATAAGATTTTAATTGTTGCTAATGTGTAAAATATCCTCTACCATGGCTATTAGTTATCATTTAATATTTATTTTGATTTCTTTCTATAATGTGTGTTTTTAATTAGTTATGGATAAATATGCCATTAATTAATTATCCTCTACCATGAAATTGGAATGGAGTTTGCATGAAAGGTAGTGGATGAAATATTAAATGTTGCTAATTGTTTTCTTTGAAATTATTTATTTGAACCAATTAATTTATATTTTAAAATATTTATGCATTAATAGTCAATTAATTAACTATCCTCTACTACCATGGTGCGTGTCTCAGGTATATACAATTATTCTCGAGTAATATTCTTTCTTTGGTTGTTTTGTTTCTATAAGATGGACTACAGGAATTCTTGGATGTATGGTTCGTTAAGACACGACGCTCTTTTCCGTGATGAGGTGGATAAATTCATCAAAGCCGCAGAGAAACATGCAACGACGTTGAAAGAGAATAGTGACACGATTATTTGTCCCTGCAAAGATTGCAAGAACCTTATTGCATTTCGAGATGTGAGTACCATCAAAGAACATCTTATTAGAAGAGGATTTGTTCCGGACTACACAGTGTGGATTCATCATGGTGAAACAGTGGTTGTTGATGACAGCGATGATGATCTAGCTGATGAAGCTGAAACCCAAGCATACTTGTCCCGATTCACAGACGATCTTGAGCAACAAATGGATCATGACTATGGCAATCAACAAGGTGGTGGCTTTGACAATCAACAAGGTAGTGGCTTTGGCAATGAACAAGGCGGTGATGATGCTGGTGGTGCCAGCAATGATGGCGAAGCACGTGAGGGGGATGCAGATGACGGTGACAACTTGGATGAAATGCTTGGGGCCTTTGGACCATAAATATTAGAAAAGAGCAAGAGAGGTCTAGAAAATCTTGAGAGGGTGACAAAAGCATCGAAGAAGACTGTATGATGTTTGAGAAGGGTCATCCGACATACTTTACACAATCGATACGTTTTGTGCTTGAGCTACTCATCCTCAAGGCTAAATCACGGCTGGTCGGACTGCAGTTTTGATGATCTGTTGTGCCTCATGTCACGGTTGCTCCCACGGCCGAACACAGTTCTCGCCAACACATACCAACCGAAGAAGGTTATAAGTCCACTCACATTGGGGGTTGAAAAAATCCATGCATTCCCCAACCACTGTATCCTTTTTCGGCGTGGCACATCGTTCGAGACTTTAGATACATGTCCTAGGTGTGGGGCTAGTCGGTACAAGAACAATGACCTTCAAAGTGGGGTGGAAGCCTCCACAGAAAAGAGGAAGAAGGGTGGGAAGAAGGTGGTGCAAGAATATCAGCCTCTAGAGGAAACTCCATTAGGCAACGATGCAAATAAGAGAAGAATTCCTGCCCTGGTTATGTGGTACTTGCCGATGACCGACCGCTTGAGGCGTATGTTCCTAAACCCTAAGGAAGCCGCACTGATGACATGGTGGGATGATGAGCACAAGGTGGATGATGATACGATCGCACACCCGGCCGATTGTAGCCAGTGGCAAGCGTTCGATGCCAAGTACAAAATAGAATTCAGTGATGACCCACGGAATGTACGGTTCGCCTTGAGCACCGATGGAATAAATCCCTTCAATGAGAGGATGATCGACCACAGCACATGGCCAGTCATCTTGACCATGTACAACCTCCCACCGTATTTGTGTCAGAAGAGGAAGTACCTTCTCCTCACCATTCTTATCTCTGGCCCCAAACAACCAGGCATTGATATAGACGTGTTCTTGGAGCCTCTGATGCAAGAAATGGAGAGGCTATGGAGGTATGGGGAGCCGATGTACAATGCGTTCCAGCGGGAGGACTTCATATGCGAAGCAATAATATTTGTTACTACCAATGATTACCCCGCGGTGAGTCGGGCGCATTACAGTGTCTTGCAGAGTATGGCAGTGATGCAACCGTACATTGATGAACATATGGCTATCATTATGGCCGAGAGGAATGGCCGTTCAGATGATTGGGTCATGAAATAGCATAAGCAACGCCTGACATCATGGTTGAAGGACCAGAACATACAACCTGGAGAAACCATAGATTCTATTACCATCAGTCGGTTGGCGGCCGGGTCATCGAAACAGGTGACGTCTTGGAATGCTTATGACATCAATGGGTACACATACTATACCGACACAAAGGACAAGAAATCTGTGAATCAGAACAGCGGCATTCGAATAGAGGCTCTCGACAGAGTGGGGCGAAAGGTCCTGTACTTTGGCATAATTGAAGATATATGGGAACTTGACTATGTAAGGGATATAAAGGTGGCCCTGTTTCGATGCCGCTGGATCAAGCAACATCAGTTCAATGAGATCGGACAGAGAGTCATCAACCTCTAGAATGTAGGCTACTAGGATGACCCTTGGGTGCTCGCTGAACGTGTCGCGCAAGTCTTCTATATGCCCGACCCACAAAGTAACCTCCCCCAAAGAAGAAGACAAAG